CACCAGGGTGCAAGCCTCTTGGACAGAAATGCTGTCCAGGTTCCCAGAAGTGATATTCACGCCCTCCCTTGCACGGAGGTGATCAACTTCTCCCCATTCCACTTATCTGCAGGGATATCAAGCCTGAAGACGCTTCAGATCTCAAGGCGTCTTTCAGACCAGGTAAGTCATCTAGAATCTCTTACTTGCTTTCACACTTTGGTGCATCCTTCGGGAGGCACTCGGGCTTAACCTTCTGCAGCCTCCGTGTGGGAGTTGCCTCAGGGGAGAGATAAGTCAGAAGCCTGGTCCCCATACCACTGTCCCTCTGCAGGAAACTGCTCATGGGGCCCCTTGGCACAGCTCTGGATGGGCTTTATGGTGGGCCCTGGAAGAAGGGTACGTAGCAAGGTGCCACAGGGGCCGACTGCAGCGGTGAGCCCCGGGGTCTTCTGTCCTCTCCCCACTGGCACACACCAAGAGTTGGCCGTTTCCTTTTTCCAGATCCCAGTGTGGTACATCTGGTCATTCCCTTTCTAACCCAGAAATGGAAGCTGCGAACACCGGTGGTCTCCACCACAGGGGAAGCGCTCAGTTGCATAAGGTGGACTCCCCTCATCCTCCAGCACTCATTTTCGCTTCATGCCTTTCTCTTCCATAGCTGCACTCACAGAAGTACAATCCAGGCAGACGGCCGCGGGGGCCTGCCAGCGGAGAGACTTTGCTAACATGTCATGGGATCATTGGGGCCTATTAGAGACAGATGGCTGGACACAGGGGGTGAAGCAGAGAGATACAGAGACGAAGGAGACAGGGACCGACAGAGGGTAAAGGTTGCCGTGTGGTCACCTGGCAGCTCTGCGCAGGTGGGCTGGGCGTGAGGGGCCCAGACTCACTCGACCTCACCACCTGGGGGAGTGGAGAGAGAACTCAGCAATGACTGACTTCGTAGCCTAAAAGCTTTGCTATAAAAGGAGAGGAAAAAAAAAAAAAAAAACAACCCTCACAAAATGCATTGTTTTGGTTCAAAGGTTTTGGGTCCATGGAGATAGAACGTTTCACAAAAATCTGTTGGTGTTTTTCTTTTCCACCTTTTCCCATGAATAAATATTATCCATTAAGAGCCTTGAAAAGGTGCTTAAATACACAGTGTTATATTTTCTTCCCGTTTTGCATGTGATGACTCTGTCCTCTGTGCTGCTCTTGGTCTTGTATTTTCCTCGTTGGGTCTCCAGAAACAATCGTTATTTGGTCTGAGGCCCGCCCCCTCCAGGCCCTGTCCTGGCACGCAGCTTCTCCCCCCACGGTTTCGCCCCTACCCCACCCACCCTCCCTTCCTGGCCCCCGTGAGAGGCAGGCTCACAGGGCTGTGTCCAAGCTAGTAGTAGCGAACCTCGGGGGCCCCTTTGCTGCTTCTTCATCCTTCCAGGCACAAGTTTCAGTGCTAGGGGTGCAACAGGGCAGGCAGAGAGAGAGGGGGAAGCGGGGAGGGAGTGGAGCCAGCGGCCACCCACCAACATGCCAGCCCCCTTGACTCCCACTACCTGCACTGGCCGTCTGTCCAGTGGCTTTACAAGGCGGAGACCTTGACGACATTGCTGGCTATGGAAGGAATGTTCGTGTTGGGACCTGGGCTGGCAGGGGGCGGCCGACTTTCCCCCTCAGGGGTTAGCGCTGGCGGGGTGGGGATGCTGATGATGGCTGTGGTGATCTGGGATGCTTTGCAGTTTGGTCTCAGTCCGTCGTCTGCTTTCAAATTAAGGCTGGAGCGGCTGGGATAAAAAAAGAGTGAGCTGATGGTGGTTCCTCTGGCTAGCGTCCCACAGCTTCCTCGATGCCCTGCATTTCCAGCCCAGAGCAACCAGGAGGTGGTCTGGGTGACCCTCTGTCTTCTTTTCGGTAATCAGCCTGTAATGATCTATTCTGATTATTATTCCTAAACTGCCAACAGTTGCAAAGTTGTGGTGGATAGCGGGGCTTTGGGATTCAGAGTACATGTTTTTCCCTCCAGTGGACTGTTTACCTGTCATTCGTGGCATTTGACTTTTGCTTTCTCCAAATTCCTCGCATCTCACTGGAGGTAGTGGGAAGTGGCATAGATGTAATCAGAGAAAGGAGGAAAAATTCAGTCTATGACTCGGAATCAACCTAGGATAAGCCATGTCTAACACAATTGTGAAAATTATTTCCCTGAGAAAACGGGTGGTGTATTCTTTGCACTGGGATAGGTCATTTTTGGATTTTTTTTTTTTTTTTAGTTATTTTTTCCTGGTATATAACCCCACATGGGGCCTCAGCCTGCTGTAGGACCCTCCACAGCACACGAAGGGCGTTCGGGTTAACTTGCGAGGAGGAGAGGGAAGGTGGGGGGAGGCGGAGGGGCTCACGCCTCAGATAAGGGGGAGGTGGGCTAGAGGACTCTCAGGCTTCTCCTGAAGCTGAGATCATTGGATTCTGTGAATGCCCTGACTCCAGCCTTCGGGGGTGATGGGGAGGGAAGCCACCCACCTGGTGGTGAGGGACGGCTGCTCGCTGCCCTGGATGTGGATCGTGCTGAGCTCCTGCATGCTGCGCAGGCGAGTGGCCGGCAGGTTGGAATTGGGCAGGTGTGTGGTCTTCTTACTGCGGCGGGAGCAGCAGGTGGTCGTGAGGCCGGGGTGGCTGGACAGTGAGGGACTTCTCGTGGACGGGTAGTTCTGCATTGAACTCTCCATGCAGTTCTGCTCAAACATCTGCTCGTCTACGAACTCGTGGTTCTGTGGGAAGCAGAAAGCGAAGGAGTCGGAGAAGGAGACGGGAGGGAGAGGGAGGAGCCCCGTGCTCTGTATGGCTGCCTGGCTCTGTTCTGGCCGTGAGAGATGGGCTCCCAGCTGCCCGGAGCCCAGACAGGCATCCAGGAGGGGTGACGTCCCACAGGCATCAGATGCAGAAGGAAAGAGAGCTCTACGGGCAGCCCTGGCCCTCGCACCGAAGGGCGGGGACTACAGTCGTTCAGTCATGAGGTGACATGCACTCCATCTACAGCTTTGAGCTGTAGGGACACAGAGGTCACAAAGGAGTTTAGTGGCATCATAAGAGCTAGAAGCAAAGACTACTTACTCTTCAGGCTTTGCGCAGGATCCCCCCAGAGTGGCAGACAGGGGGTCACTGCTATGGTAGTGGTTCTGCTAGGTTGCCTTTGCTGGATTTAACGGCGAGATACTTATGAATCTCGGGTAAGTGTGAGACATAAGCTTTTAAAGACACTGGACTGTTCACAGAATTGGGAGAGCTCTGCTCTTAAAGGCTAATAGGGTCAAATTGTCAGGGTTATGATTTATTATTGTTTTGGATATATGGATACCTGGAGGCATAGGATTCCCTAAGTCAAGTGTAAGCATGGGAAGGGAATGCTTATAGGACAGAGTGGAGCTTAACTCAAGAGAACTTAAAAATGGCCGTGTGGCCAAGGTGACTAAAAATCTGCGGCATTAGTGGTCTGACCGAGGCCGCCGGGGTGCGGAGAAAGTCTGAAGAGAAGTTGCATGAGAATAGAGTTCAGAGGGAGACCAGCCCTGACAGCCAATACCAAGAGGCCCCATGGAGCCGGGCAGGTGGCTTAGACGGGCCACAGACGTGGCATGTGGACACTCACAGGATACCGACATCGGTGCCATGTTCCACCCCCTCCAAGCCCCTGGGGAGGTCAAAAGAGGGAATCGAAAAGGCAGGTGGGTCGTTCAGCACAAAAACTGGGAGCCTGGGCTGGTACTGGGTGTGACGGCAGCGGGAAGATGAGCCCCAGAAGAATCAACAGCACATGCAGAGAACCAGACCAGGGGGTAAAAAGAGGAGGATCCACAGACTCAGAAGAATCAGAGAGAAAAAACATCAATTGAATTTTTAAAAGTTATACCTTGATGGTGGAGGTTCGTACAGACAACAGGGGATCATCCACAAGATAGGACAACCCCTACAGGACAACATGCCAACAGAAGATAAAAACACCATTGATTGTACATTCCGGCATTCCCAAGCTCAGTTTGACATTCAGTCTCTCAATCCCAGCATTCCACCCGCTGAGCCCAACATTCCAGCCCCGGCTCCCCGCATTCTCCCCCCATCCCCCCGCGCTGTCCCAACA